AAGAACTCTTACAAAGATTTTCGTTTAGACTTTAAATTACAAATTATCCAATTAATTTATCCATGTGAATTTATAATTTTAGCCTAAAATGATACTTATCCAGATGAGTTTAATTGGTGCATCTGGATGAAAATGAACCTGCCTAAATTAACAAATGAAATTGTATCCCTCATTCTAATAAATATTTATCTTCAAGTTTATACAGATAAATATTTACAATATAATTATTCAAAAATCTTCAAAAAATGTATTTTCCTGCAAAAATTGTACAAACACATTCTTCCGCCAAAATCGCAAAAACCACAATTTTCTTGCCAAAATTGCATAAAATGCATTTTCCGCCTTAATCGTAGAAACGCATTTTCCTGACAAAACCGCAAAAACACATTTTCCCGCCAAAACCACAAAAACTCAAATTTCCGTCAAAACCGCAAAAATACACTTTTCCGCCGAAATCATTAAAGGTATTTAACAGAAAAACCACAACGCATTTTCCTGCCAAAATCGTAAAAACACATTTTTCGTCAAAACCGCAAAAACCTTTTTTCCGCCAAAACGGCAAAATAATGTTTCCCTTAAATCACAAAATTAAATTTTCTTTCAAAAACCGCAAAATATATTTTTCACCAAAACCACAAAATTACAATTTTTTTCTAAAATCACAAGAAATATATTTCCCCCAAAAAGCATATTTAAAATAATTATATTTTGATTACTTAATAAAATTTATTGTATTTAATAAAGATATAATATGATTAAATCAAATCAAGGACATATAGGTCATTTGTTTATTAAATGGATCTAGATGAAAATAGAGATGAACAAACAAACATAAATTCATTTTGATGATCCACCTAGATTAACTGTATAGATGGAGAAATGAACATTCTGAATAACATCCAGATGAATCATTTGACTGGATCATCTAAATGAATCATCTGAATGGATGATGACAGATGACAAATAAATATCACCATATTAGGATTTAGGGATCTCAATATAAAACATCTCATTAATTTGCTATATTCAGTGTGTACAAAGGAACATTGTCTGTGGACTCGAAGGTTTCATTGCAACAGGAACGAAAGTTGTAGAGATAGGTAAGTTGTTGTTTTTTAATTTGTCTCCTTTGAATATATACACATCGTGGGGTTATATTTGGAATGTTGGTATCCACAGGGTTGAAGTTTGCTGAAGATTTCAAGAAGTACGAAGATGAGTTTTCCGATGCTAATACTCCTCGAGAATTGCACATCACTTTGGAACCTCTTACAAGTGGGTAGAAGATGCGAGCGAATCTCTACTTGGAACTCTTGGTGAGCAGGTAAAGCTCTTGGAACATTTTCATTTCATTCTCTAACCTAGAAACTTAAGAGTGCAAATGTAGGTTTGTTTTCAATAAAGCTTCAGGTTTTAATTTACTTAGGTTTGTGAGCCTATTCATACAAAGATAAGTAGTGCACCATTGGAGGATGCTAGGCGTTTAGTATATCACTATTACAGGCCGAAACAAGAAGTTGAAGCGCATGTTGAACTTTCATTTGGTCTGTTCTTGAGGCATTTTGGCATCTTGGAAAAATGAACGCCTATATTTTAAAAGGCAACTGACGTATTTAGGAGGAGATCAAAGTTGAAGGAATATTATGTCTCTCAAGAAACCTACATGTAAGTTTTGTTGGAACTCAATTTTAATACAAATGTTAAAATTGTAATTTTGTTGAATGAGAAATGTTTGTCCTAAGATTGTTGCTCTAATAGCACAAAATAGACTATGTGGAAAAGTCTAACAAGGTCGATAACCTTAGACAATTACAGACAAATGTGAACTCATAACAAACCAAGCGCGCGAATCAAGTTGTGAGTTAATGTGAACGCGGACTTGAGTTTGATTAGATAACGGTTCAGATATATGGATCCTTTTCCTACAACCTATATTTTTATATTAAAATTTTCTTTTATGGAATTGATCACTACGTAAATGAAAAATGGATTAGAAAAATAAACAAGTCTTTTTGGCATCAAAGAAGCTACTAAGGCAATGTTAGAAGTAGGCCTGGCGTTTCGGGTATTGGTTCGGTTCGGTTTGGGTATTTCGGGTAGTTTGGGTAGGGACTTAGAGAATCCATTCACTACTTGACTTATTTTCGGTTCGGTTCGAATAGTTTCGGGTTCGGTTCGGTTCGGATAGTAAAACTAAGAACCAGAAAACACCTAGAAAATTTGATTCTCATTTGGTTCCGGTTCAAATTCGGGTAGTTCGGGTAAATTATCGGTTATTTAAGATAAAATATCAAATAATTAGAACGGTTTAGATACAAATTTTGGATATTTCGGATAAAATTATCCGTAGTTCGGATACACTATAATTATTTAGTTATCTTCAACTATTTTTGGATACTTTAATGAATTTTAAATTAAAATCATATATTTAGTTATGTTATATGTATATAAAATTAATGTTATTGTATATTCGGGTATCCTTTTGGTTATTTTGGATATATAAATACAAGAACCGTTTAGATATTTGAGGGTCTCGGTTCGGTTCCGATTTTGGATATTTTTGTTCGGTTCCGATTTTTTTTTCCAGGCCTAATTAGAAGTGGACAGTGCGCAGTAGAACAGAACGTAACTTATCAGTGCCTCCGTATTTCAGAAATAAAATGATACTACCAACGCAGGTTGAATTTGAGAGATCATATCATCGTAATGCTCTTGGTATCCTTGATAAGTCTGAAAGATAGCCACTTGTTCTGGTTGTCTTCTTGTTCAGATGATTGCTGAGGAAGAAGCTATAGTCAAACCATTACCAAAGACGCTACCTCTACATTTAGAGGGTACTGTCTCTCGTCCCCAAGAAGAAACCAATTCCAACCACAGGGGAGAGATCAAATCTATTCACATAGAAGAAACCAAGTGCAATCCCCAAGAAGTAACCAAACTCAGTTCCAAAGAAGAAACCAAGTGTATTCCTCTAGAAAACACGCAGTGTTCAATGTACCTCCTTAATGAAGTTTTTGTTTCTGATACCGAATCAACCTTAAGACTGTATTCCAGAAGAAAAGATAATAGTATGCACAAGAAGCTCAGTTTTTACTAACCAAATGTAAAATAACAAGAATCTCCCTCCCTCCCTCCCTCCCTCCAAGTTCAAGCGCGTGCATCTGTATAGCTCCGACATCCGGAGGCGCGTGCGCGCGCGCGTGCCAGTGTCGGAGGCGATCCTCTTCTCAATCTTCTTGTCTTCCTCTTTGCTGCTGCCAGATCCTCATCCTTCCTTCTGATATGCTTGCGGTTTCTGGTCTTAGGGTTCGTCAACGGCCGATGCTCTGCTCGCGAAGAGCCTTTCTCCGATGGTGATTCTTATGTTCTGGAAGTGTGGCGAGGTCGCGGAGGTGGTGTTTCGTGGTGGTGGTCGGCTTTTCGGTTAGGGAGTGAATCGATTTTCTCCTTTTGATTCTTCTCTGGCTTCTTCGTCGTGGTAGGGGGTGAAGGTTTGAATCACCGTTTTGGTTTCCGGTGACTTATTGTTACTCTCGAGACGGATGTTTTCAAATGGTTTTGGCGGTTGGTTTCTCGGTCCTGCTTGGTGTCGGGGAGGTTCGTATTCCTTTTCCAAAAAATCAAGGGAACTCTGGCATTACTTCCTCGGAGGCGAGTCCGAAGGCGTTGTACGCATGAGGGTTGGTGTGCGTCTTTGGTGGTTTGTGTGGGCGCTGGCGGTTGCTGTATCTGGTGGTTCGTCTATGGCCTCTTTTGGCAGTGTCTTGATGTGCTACTTCTATTTGGATGCCTTCTTTCACGGCACTCTGTCCAGCCTCTCTGGCTGAAGGCGACGGTCTTTCTGTTTCAGAGCAAAGTCTCTCGATCTTCTCCGTTGCTCCATCTCCATTGACACTGGAGGTTTGTGTTTACACGAAACAATATTCGTCTCTTTGGTTCTCGAAGGTCGCAGATGACGGGCTGGCTCTCGGGAGTCATTGGCCATCTCGGTGTCTTCATCTGATCAGAGCTCACGTTCCTGGTGCCGTAATGTTTCGCTTGAAATATTGGTGGTGAGCTTGATTTATTCTGTAGGTGTTAGTGGCATACTTGGCAGAGTGTGGTGAGGATTGCAACCCAATTTTTGGCAAGGTTAGTGTGTTTCTCTTTTGGCGGTTAATATGGAGTGAGGTTTCAGCAGCTCTCCTCAGGTATGGCTGTCTTGACCCCTCTCTCCTTTGGTTGTCTCGTGCTTAAACGACAAGGAAGAATGCAAACTTGGCAAGATCACCGATTACCAGCTACTTCAGGCGACGCCTTGGGGACTCCGGCATCTGAGGCAACGAGGTAAAACCCACCTCCCCCGAGGTTAACGTCAATAGAAGAGAACGGTCGTTGGTAGTCTAGTAATTATTAAGTTCTCTAGCATAACGCGCCGGAAAGGTGGTGATGCAAAACTAGAATTGTAAACATAGTGATCTAGATCATTTTGTTCGAGCCCGGTTTGTATTCAACTTTGATGTCTTTTCGGGTTGATAATATATATATTTAGAAAAAAAAAAGCTCAATTTTTTTTTTCAAAGTTAAACAACTTTACGTTTTTATTACAACTAGGTCTTTTGCCCGCACATGCGGGGTTAATTATCTTTAAGTCAATTTAAAAAATCATCAAAATAAATGATTAAATTTTTTTATATGATAAAGTTATTCACAAATTAAAAAAAAACTATTTTTTCCTTTACAACTTTGAAAAATCCAAAGTCTATTTTATTTATTCTTAATTGATAAAAATATAGAAATCTAACTTTGCAAATAATATTAAATTCATTATATTTTTAACTGATTTATATATTTTATTCATTAAGGTTATAAATAATATTAACCATTCTAACTTTTAACGTGAGAGCTCTATTGCGAAAAATCACTTCGCATCGCAAATAATAGTATAGATAATAAGCCCAAAAACAGAGGACCCATCAAAAATCAATAAAGTTGACTATAATTGTTCTCTCTGTTGTGTCTGATGCTCCAACGTGAACATGGGTTCTATACAAGCTCCATCACTTATAATGTACAATAAGATGCTCAAATCTTTTGCCGAAACCAAAAACTTCACGAAAGTTTTGGCTTTGTTCGGCGAATTGCGAGGACAAGGCTTGTGTCCGGATAATTTCACTTTACCGGTTGTTCTGAAATCAATCGGACGTTTAAGGGACGTTAAAGAAGGTGAGAAAGCCCATGGTTATGCTGTGAAAGCTGGGCTTAAATTCGATTCTTACGTATGTAATTCACTCATGGGAATGTATGCCGCATTGGGTAAGATGGAGATCACTCGTAAACTGTTCGACGAAATGCCTGAACGAGATATTGTTTCTTGGAACGGGTTGATTTCTAGTTACGCTGGGCATGGGAGGTTTGATGATGCTATTGATGTTTTCAAGAGGATGAGTAAAGAGAGCAACTTGAAGCCTGATGAAAGTACGATTGTGAGCACTCTCTCAGCTTGCTCTGCTTTGAAAAATTTGGAAGTCGGTGAAGGGATTCAGAGGTATGTTGTGACACAGTTTGAGATGAGTGTTAAGATAGGGAATGCGTTGATTGATATGTTCTGTAAATGCGGGTGTCTCGATAAGGCTAGACCAGTTTTCGATTCGATGAGGAACAAAAACGTCAAGTGTTGGACTAGCATTGTTACTGGATATGTTAGTAACGGTAGGATTGATGAGGCTAGAGAGCTGTTTGAGAGAAGTCCAGTGAAAGATGTTGTCTTGTGGACAGCTATGATGAATGGGTATGTTCAGTTTAACCGGTTTGATGAGGCGTTGGAACTGTTCAGATGCATGCAAACAGAGGGTATTAAGCCTGATAACTTCGTTCTAGTCTCTCTCTTGAAAGGTTGTGCGCAGACGGGAGCTCTAGATCAAGGGAAGTGGATCCATGGGTACATAGATGAGAACAGAGTTACGGTGGATAAAGTAGTTGGTACTGCTCTTGTAGACATGTATGCAAAATGTGGGTGCATAGAAACAGCTCTAGAGGTTTTCTATGAAACCAAGGAGAGAGACACTGCTTCTTGGACATCACTTATCTACGGTCTTGCAATGAACGGGATGTCAGGGAGAGCGATAGACTTGTATCACGAGTTGGAGAATGTTGGTATCAGATTAGATGATATAACCTTTGTGGCGGTTTTAACAGCGTGTAATCACGGTGGATTTGTAGCAGAAGGACGTAGAGTCTTTCACTCGATGACCAAAGTGCATAAGATCCAGCCTAAAGCAGAGCACTACAGCTGTCTGATTGACCTACTGTGCAGAGCTGGTTTGTTAGAAGAAGCAGAGGAACTGATAGATGAGATGAGAAATGAAAGAGATGAAACTCTGGTTCCTGTGTACTGTTCTTTGCTAAGCGCTGCTAGGAACTATGGGAATGTTGAGCTAGCTGAACGAGTAGCTAAGAAGCTGGAGAAAGTGGAAGTTAGTGATTCAAGTGCTCATACTCTGCTAGCGAGTGTGTATGCATCTGCCAATAGATGGGAAGATGTGACGAATGTGAGAAGGAAAATGAAAGATTTGGGAATCAGAAAGCTTCCTGGATGCAGTTCTGTGGAGATTGATGGTGTTCCTCATGAATTTATTAGTGTTGAAGATCACCCAAAAATGGATGAGATAAACACAATGCTTCATCAAACTGCAAATTGAATGTTGAGTTTGGAACATAAAAGTAATTGAAAGTTGAGTTTTTCTTGTGTTAGCACTTATCAGGCCACTAGTAGCAAAACCTGATATGTTTTTTTAACATTTTCTAAGTGCTACCTTGCGTTCGCGTGCTGACGATTGGAGCTATCAGTTCAAATGAGCTTCAGTAACTGAACGTGAGACTGTGTTCTTGCTTTAAGACATGAAGGACAAATAGAATGCAGAGGCAAGAAGAAGCTTTCATTATGTCAAAAGAACATTTCAGAGGCAGAGAGCAGTTCTTTTTACAAAGGTCACAAGACTCACAACTATGCATTTTACGTTGGCTGCAGATATTATCACGTTTAGTAATGATAATGCACTCTTTAAGGACATACTCAGGTGGAAAAAGCTCTCGTGTGTTGACTGATTACGAAAAATGTGAACGGGATATAGTATGAAGGAAATGAAAAGAATAAAGAAAAACTGTCAAAGCCACCATGGAGACTTCGAGAAACTGAGTTTTCTGAAATGGTCAAGTTCTTGTTATCAAGGGAAAAATCGTGACCCATGACAACAATGAGCCTCCTGCATAGAAACCAAACATAAGTAAGGTAGTAGCATAACAAAAGTTTTGAGTAAGAAACTGAAGCCAAGAAGGAGTTCCTTCGATTGAAATAAAAGAGAGGCGACCAGCATGGTGACACTTTTCAAACTTTGACATGAATATTTCTCTCTTTGATACCATTTCTGGTGTTACATATATTAGTTATCTTGAGATCATCTAGTGCTAAAAGTAGAAGTAAGCATGTAAGCTGAAATCCCTAAAGCCTTGCCAAACCCATAACCTGTATAATTGTAAACAATAATTGGTCTTAAATAAGTGAAACCTATATTCCTAAGCTTAGTAAGAATCTGATCCTGAATCAGTGAAAGTAAAGGACTGACAACAAGAGTGTACCATCACGAGGTGTAGCGGGGAGTTTATGGCAAAGAATCTTACCGAACTTGGGGACTGGTAATTGGTAAATAATCCAAGTTGAAGTATATATTATATATTAAGATCAAAACTTACGTAAGAATGTACAATATAAAAATTATAAATCATTTTTAGAGACATGGAAGAGGAGCTAAGTCAAAGTGAGCTGGAGCCTAGAGGGATAGATTTGTTCGATATGTCCTGACGTCCACAGACCAAATTTACGTCAGTATTAGAAAAGCCCGAGGATAATTTTTTAAAAGAAATTATAATAGAATTTACACTTTAAAAAAAAATACGCTAATATGGTAAACGAAATGTTAACAGAAATGACTTGGTTTTGTGATTAATTTTGTCGCAACACTACCATATAATAGGAGACCTCACTACACTGACAGTCTAACCTGAAGGGATGAACTCGTTGATGTATTCTTTTTTTATAGAACAATATAAACAATCATAAAATCAAATAAAATTTCACTAAATAAATAATCATATTAAAAATATATTATATATCTATATTTATATTTAATACTCCCTCTGTTCCTAAAAGATAGATTTTCTAGTATTTTCACACATATTAAGAAAACACATTAAATCACTATCGTTTTCCGTAATTTTCAATTTTCAATAATTTTTAACCAATAGTAATCTAATAAAACCAATTAATTTTTTTAAAACTTGTAATTTTTTCATAGAAAACATAGAATATACATCTTTTTGAAACAAAATAATTTTGCAGAACATGGATCTTTTAGGAACGGAGGGAGTATTAATTATATATCATATAAAATAGATAAAAATGATTATTTGGACACATTTAATAAAACGAAAAGTAATAATAACAGAGACGAGACCACTGAATTATTTTACTTAATATAGTTTTGAATTGCAAAAATCATGTCGGGACCGAACATAAGCTAATGACCCATACCGAGTAAACTAACCAATCCCCCCACCTCTTATTTAAAAGCACTACACGACAAAACTACCTTTTTGCCAACTGCGTCATCGCTTGTGTCATCATTCCTTTAAAACTTATCATGAATAGTTCAAACTAACAACGAAGATTTGCCTGATTTCGTAATTATTATAGTCAGCAAACACGTGATTGCATGATTCGTGTAACCGATTGTATACTATATAAAAATCCAGGAAAAGCCAAGTTTCCCAAGAAGACGTTGTGGATGTGAAAGACAGAACTAGAATTCTACGAGAATCTTCACCAACGAAACTAAATTTAACATTGAAATTACATCAAATTTAATATTTTAAAATCATAAATTATTTGTTATTTCTAATAATAACACTAACTTTACATCAAGATTAATATTATATGCTATTTAATGTTTTCAGTTTTAACACTTTCATATTTTTATTATTTATAATTAGTAAATAATTACTTTATCACATTTCGATTATCATTTATATTTTTATTATTGATAAATAATAAATGATAATGGTCATTTAGTGATTTATTTTAAAATACAAATAAATAAATAAAAATTTAGTTTTTAAATTATGTGAAATAAACTAAAAATTAAAATAACATAATATAATACAGTTATATTTAATTACGAATTTGATAATAATTAAATTATATTATTAAATAAAACATAATAAAATATGCATATTAAAGATTTGGTGTGATGAATAATATTACAACAAATTTGATGTAACACTATTAACATTATACCAAATTTAATGAGACTGTGTTAATTTTGTTGTTTTGTTGGAGATGAAATTATAATTAACCAATTCATGCATGCTTGCTAAATAATATTAAAGATTTGGAGTAATGAATAATATTACAACAAATTTGATGTAACACTATTAACATTATACCAAATTTAATGAGATTGTGTTAATTTTGTTGTTTTGTTGGAGATGAAATTATAATTAACCAGTTCATGCTTGTTAAATAAGGTCGCTATTTTTGGTCAGGATCCTTGACTTCTTGTCACGTAATAAAATAGTAAGAATCTTACAAAAAGAAGAATACTCCAAAAACTCTTCAGAAGAATCTTACTGATTTTCTCAAGACCAATACTAAACACTTTGAGTATATTTCATTCACTTTTCTGTATGATTCTCTCTTATAATTTATAAATGTATCAAGCTATATTTTATCTTATTTTGTTATTTTTACTAGTTGCAACAACAGCTACATTTTGTGATCCTGCATCTTATGATCACATGATTTTACATTTTCTAAACTAAAATACTTTCTCACATCGTTTCCTCTTTGATTTTAATTTGCCTTGATCATCATTATTTTAGTCAACAGAAACGATGGGAACAAACATGTAAAACAGAACGAGCAAGAAAATTCAGCACCAAGATAACTTAATCTCGACAAGACTCTTTTAAAGGAAATTAAGTTTTCGTTTTACAGTACTTTAGGTTTCCGCGTAAAAAGAGTGAGAGTGATCTACGCTTTATTTGCATTTTTTTATTATCAGATATTATCAGATATTGATTTCAGACAAAATTATAATATCGCGGTGGAACTAGTTTAGCCTCCATGACAATAATCTTATTTGCATTTTTTTATTTACGCTTAAGATGATGTATTTCGAAAAGAAATGGTTCAGCATTAATATTTTTGAATTCTATAATATTTTGGGGGATAAGTTCACAAACTAATTCATTTAAATCATAATATTTAAGTGTAAATTTATTTATTAATTAGCTAAATTGAGCTACTTTGTGTGACATAAGTTCAAAAAATTTGTTCATCTTGTAGACCTTATTTATAGTATAATATAATTACAACCTCCTCAATTTATTCCGTAACAAATAGAATACTTGAAGTTAATCAACGGATTGGGTTAGTGACACTTAAGGGATAATTCCAATTCAGTGAATCTGTATTTCAATTTCCTTTGACCACCAGGGGGTTTACAAATATCGGCATCTTTGAATCCACAAAATAGTTCGTTGATTTTGGTCGTCAGACATTGTGATTAATTTAAAACAAATATATATATGGTGTTTACCAGTATTATCAATATATTCTGACTTACAAACACACTATTTTAATTTCTAACTTTCAATGAAACGTTAGTAGGTTCATATGTTATTGACCAAGCAATTTCATCCCGTCAAAAAGTTAATTGTTTAATATGTTAGCTATATTTGATGGTATCAAAATAGTCCTGTCAGCACAAATATGTGATTTTTGTTCCTAGAAAAGTTGTTGATTTGGCTTATTTAAAAGTGACTTTACTTGAATTATATATCTTATTTATTTCACTAACTAACTTTTTTGTAGAGTATACCAACTCAATAAAAAGAGGAACAATCACTTTATGTTTATGTTTCAATTTTCCTTGGGTTTAAGCACTTACTTATTTTTATGTTATGTCCAAATTTTTTAACTTTGATATATTACTTCTTTAGATTAATTAAGATATATATATATATATATATATATATATATATATATATATATATATATATATATATATATATAATTTATTTGTTTTAAACGAGATGAAAAAGTTACAGTTTTAAGTAAGTCAATTTAACTAAGCTATTTTAATCTTCAATTTTTAATTTGGACCAAAATCTTATACTTGTATTGACCAAACCATTTGAGCTTCATAACAAACAGCCGTTAAGTAAAACTAACATAATTAAACGATTGATTTTTTACGGGGTCAACAACAATATGAAATTTAATAATATATTAAATTTTGATCTGCGTTTTGAAAATGTGTGTATTTTTTTTGCTTTGCAAGTTTTATATATATTTGTCAAAATGAGATGTTGTTAACGTCAATCAAAATTATAGATTTTTTTTTTTGGGGGGGGGGTATATATTTGATTTTGGATTATATTTGATTTTGGACCATCTGTGTAAAATAAAAAAAAAATGTTGACTTTAGACAGGATTTTATTTTTAACTGGCTTGTATTTTTAACGTGATTTTTAAAGAGATTACAAACTGCATTCAATAAAATATTAGTAAAAATATAAATTATCAATTTATTATTCCAAGTAAACTGATTATATTTACACCAAAAAAATGCAGATAGTTTAC